TTTCAGAAGGAAAACCCAAAAGTGTGGCATAGTTTTTTAGGTGGCTACTTTTGGTCAGCGTTCTCTGCTTTTAGGTGAAAAATTCTTATTTTACTCAATGCACTGAAAAAATATATATATCCCGTTGTCCTTTTATTTATAACATTCTTATCCATCCATCCTGATCCTTAATCCATAGACCTTATAATTTAGAAGCAAAGAAAAACCCTAAACTAGGCTTAAAAATATTCGCTGCTAAGAAATTGTATTTTAGATTCATGGTTTTATTTTTTTGGCCAGTGCTCTTCTTGAGTTAAGTTGAACGGACCACCAGACGGCAGCCTTCGCCTTGGCACACATTTTTTGTTTTCGCCCCTCTTTGTTTGCCTGGGCGGCCGTGTGTATGATGTTGAAATTAAATACTTTGCCTGAAATGCTACAGTGACGACTGCCGAGCGATGGGCGGTAGGGCATAAGCCTGGCGTTTGGGGGTGGCAGTGCGACAGAAGGATAGGCAGCCCATGACAAGGCAGCGAGGCAGCAACTTGTTAGCGATGCTCCCTCCGTTCTATTTTCCTTCATGTTTTCGTTTTCACTCTCGCTTAAATTGTGCAACATTTCCGAGATGCCTTTCTTCCTGCCGAGCTCTTGTTGAGTAATTAAAATGCAAAGCAAAGTGCAGCAATTTGAGCCTAATTATAATGGCAGCATAAAAGTTTTCGGGCTGCCGGGGCTTGAAGGAAATCAGCAAACAGAATTCTTTAACCGACATGCCCCGACAATGTCTTGCCGCATTTCAGTTTTGTGTGTGCGACAGCAGCAACATTTTCAATTTCCGCGCTCAAAGCCACAGCGTCGAGAACATTTTCAAAATTGAATGTCACTGAAAATGGCCATAGAATAGGGGTACTGAAAAAAAACCAACCATTTGACCCACTCGGAAGCCCAGTTTCAGCTGTTCTAGATTTGTGGCCCAGCTTTCCAGGAGATGTCAACCGAGTTCATTATAAATATATTTTTAAGCAACCTCAAAAATGCAAATAATATTCCATGCACTTGACTAACACTCGACATTTGCATGCGAATATTATAACACACATGCTCGTATGTAATGAAAAAATAAACATGAATTTCAAAAAAAAAAACACCCAAAAACCACAAATATGCGGTGGCCCAATGGGGGTCAAACATTTTTGGGTATAAATATTTAATGTGCCATGAAATGAGTAGGCGATATACACGCAGAGAGTGAAAAAGGGAAAGGGTTTTTCCGAATGGCTAACGAAAGTGTCAGTCGAGTTGAACGATGCCCTTGGATTATGCCACATAAAGTGGATTCGGTTTCACTGAAATATATTTTCCAGCTTAGTGGTTGTTTTGGTTGAAAAGTCAAGAATTAAGAGTAACACCTATTTATACCGTAAAATATTGGAATTTCATAATAATATTATTAATTATTAAGTTAATTTATATATTTTTTATTTATTTATCTAAGGCTAACAATTAGTTAAAACTAAGAGCAAGCATTGGCTAGGAGCAAAAGCTGCTAAGGCCTTGAGTTATGCTAAAATTAGATTGTGGCTTGCTTACAAATCTAATATTTTATGTTATTTTAGAATATATTTTAGATATATATATTTTTTATAAATTTCTAAAATTTATTTCAATTAAATAAGTATTTATTTTTGTGGAAATGTCCTCTTTCTATCACGGAAAGCATTCTCCAGGTATTGAAAGCCACTCAAATAAAATGAAACAAGTAAATATTTACTTTCCCATACTGAAATATTTATATACGTTCCCCAAAAATCGAGACCCACTCAAATTTGCACCTTCCGCGGGCAACAAGTTATTCAATCAAATTCATCACTCCAATTCTCACCTGGCCCTGCTGTGGCGAAGAAAAGCCAAAGTTTATTTGATACTTTCCGAACAATACGGTTGCTTCCCTTTTTTTGAAATATTTACATATATAGAATACATTTTCACTGACCAAACTTGGTAGAAAAGTTAAACTTGTTGCACAGTTTGGTGGAGCGACTGTTTCTTGACTTTTTTTGGCATTTTTTTCTGTAAAACAGTAATTAATTGTGTCCCTTCTGGGAGGCAATTCTTCTTTTTTTTTGTTTTTATTAAAACCACAATTTTGCAGAAGGACAAGAGGGCGAGAAGGCGGAACATAAACAGCTCGAATTATAATTAAGTATGCGCCCTGGTGCCCTTTGAAAGCCAGAAGAACAAAAGTTTGTTGATTTTTTCCTTTTTTATGTTAGATATATTTTTCCCCTTTTCCGCTTTATTATTTTTATTATTTCAAGTATTTTAATTTACGCATTTTCGTGGCAATCAAGCGAAATTTTAACCAGACTCAAAAAAAAAGAACTCAAAAGTTTTGCTAATTTACATGGGAAAATGTTAAAGGGTTAATTTTTTATTAAATTTGTTTATGCATATACATATATCTATTGGAATGGAAATTTGAAAATCAGACCTGTTGCTGGCAAATAAATGGCAACCAGTGCAAATTATGAAGGACACAGCCAAAAGCTTGTTGACTACTCAAGTGGCACAGTTCCTTTATGGGTTTCTCATTTCTCCTTGCTTGATATCTCTTTCGGTTGATTTTTTCTTCGTAAATTTGAGACTTGCTCTTAGGAGAGCTATAGGAAACTTTAAGAGCTTATCCAATTTCGTGTGCCTGCCACAGTAATTGTCACAATTGTCCAACTGGTTTAGTTATTTTTTTTAGCTCTAGTTACTCACTTTAAGCCTTTAAGAACCTCTACGCAAATTCTCTTAAAAGCTTTTAGAGTAAGAGAAGTCATAAGCAGAGCTTACCATCCACAATTTCTCTTTAGGGATCTCTTCAAATCTGTTAGGCTATTCAGCAAAGAGAAAGTTTTTGTGGATCGTAAGCTTCTGATAAGGATTTACAGGAACAGCTGTTCGAGGAAAAGCTTTCTAAGAAATTGAATTATTTATAGTTGAATTGAATTGAAAAGGTGGAACCAAAAATTGAATTACTATAATCTTATAAAATAAATTGGGTCAAGAACGTTCTCTTGGGAAACTATTAAACGTATTGTTCCTGAGAGCTTTTATAGGGTATCCTAATGTTTTAAAGGTTTTTACGTTCCTAATATACTTACCGAAAAGAAATCATATTAAAATTTATACTATTTATTATATTTTCAAGGCTAAAACTAAATACAAATTTTTATTATTAAGAGTATTTCTCTTCTTATATATCTTCTAACACTGCGAAAAGTAACAATCCACCCATCCACATGGCGTATCCGCACCGTCGCCGGCTAAACTGGTAAAGCAACATCTAAAAGAAAACTGCAAATGTTGAAGTAACAACTTTCGTGTTGTATATTTTTGGGGATTTTGTTGATTCCTCTGCTGTTTCCTGAGTTTTCTCGACACTTGATTTTTGATTTTTGTTTGATTTCTGTTTAACTTGGTCCGCATTCTATATTTTCTTCGTCCGCCTGAGTTTTGTGTGCTTATCTAATGACTGTTGTTGTTTTCATTATTGTTTTTGGAATGCGTAAACTTTGTACTAGCCGTTGTGCCGAAATCGTATGCAGATTGAAGGGAATTGCAATCTGTAACTGCAAAATCCTGAGCTAAAGGACTTATTCGGATTTGGTTAGTTTGTGGACAATAAACTGACGTTGCATGCATATTTATGGGTGGTTGTGGGTTAACTGGTAATTGAATCAGTGCCTGAAACATTGTTTATTAATATGCAATTAGAGATGGAGAACGTGGCCTGAAATTCAAACCTGGATTCTAGTCACCCGATTTCAAATGGCAAACTAATTAAGCGAAATTAATGCGTCGCGGATTCCTAAGCCTGATTACATAATTAACAATCTGCCTTGTGGCACGGATATAGATTATAGGTAAATGGATAGCCGAAAGGTTCAAAATCTGAAATTTAAGTGGAACTACACTAAATGAACTGAAACTAAATCTAAAAATTAATATAAATGTATATGAATATAAATAATTTGGCAGTGAACTGAGAAATGCAAAAGCTCGAAAATGGTTTGATTATAAATTTACATTTAGACGTATTCTAAATATAAGTACGTACTCTTGATTTAGGAGATTTTCCCCATTTTCCTTCCAAAAAATATATATATATTAGTGCCCAATCTACCATTCCGTTGAGAGTGCATTGTACTAGCCTTGAAAGTTTCATTTTATTCGCTCCCCCTCAAGTCAATTTCAATGTACTGCCTTCGGCATAGAACAAAGGAAAAACTGCAAAATTGTATTTTACTTTTAAGCTGCCGCGGTGGACTGCAAAAAAAAAAAAATGAAAAAAGAAAGCAGCGCCCTAGAACTGGCGAAAATAAAATATACGAGATTCGCTCTGTTTTTGTCTAATGTAAAATGCGACGCTTCGGGTAACGCGCAGATTTTGAGCTTTATAAATTGAAATGTCAGGAAAAGTTGAGGGAGCCGCAGTACAGAGCAGTTGACTGACTGACTGACAAGCAGCCACAGCCAGATACCAAAATCTGCCAGAAGACAGAGCCAACTCAACTGCAAAACTTTGCAATATTTTATTATTATTATTTCTGCCCCTTTTTTGTGTTTTTGATATTAGCAAACAAAAAAATATATATATATAAATGGCAATGCGACATGATTATCATTCTAGCCTAGCTGTTGCAGATTGGATCAGAAGTGTGCTATTATTTAGTATAAGTGAGGCTGTCGAGTTGAGCTTTTCATTGCCCGAAATGGCAAACAAAGATGCTAAAGAGAAATTCTGCCGGCAGCCTAGAATCTAATTTCAATTTACTTGTCGTAAATTTGACATTTCATTTAGCAAGCTAAATGTTATCTTATACCTATGAGTTTTGCTGGCGGCAATATATTCTGTTAATTAAGCAATTGAAATTCGATATAATATTTCCTTAACAATTTCGAACTAGAATACTTACTTCAATATTGGTTATTTGCCATTGCAAAGTGCATTGATTATTTAAAAAAACAAAAAATATGGTAAAGAATTTTATTCAAAAAAGTTTCTTGATCAGCTTAACTTTATACAAATCATAACTTACAAAATACAAAAATCAATCATCATCATGAAAGTACATTGTAATTATTATATGCACTTAACTTAGTCAATTATCAATTAATTCGTAATTGTGTAAATAGTTTTAAATAATAACATTAATTGCCAGTTGTATGGAAAATGGATGGATATCGTTAGGAGACAAGAAAAACAAAATGAATTATGATAGAATACTTTCCGTTGCAAGAGATGTTTTCGAGATTTTCCTTATTTAATTTTTTGTTTATTAATTTGTTTAAATGCTTTTTTCTGGCGGCCTAAATTGTTACAGTCCTTAATTTTGCATAGTCAAAACGGCAATGTGTACAAAAATGCTTGCGTAAAAATAATTTAAGGTTCGTCTAAATAAGTTTACTTAAATTTTGCATAAGTTTTTATATTTTCTTTTTTTGTTTTGTGGCTTCTTGTCTTAAATTTACATTTAGCTTAAATGCGAGACATTTATGTAAATAATTGAGATTTTCAAATGCTTTTTTTTTTCTCTTGCCTATGTTTATGTAAATTTTATTTATATATAGTTTTGTTTTGCAAATATTCTTTTAGCTTTTTAGGGTTTTTTCTTTTTTATCTTGTTGTAAATTTGATTTAATGTGTGGGCTGTGGGAGGAGGGGTACATATTGGGGGGCGTGTCTTGTGTCAAGATTTCTGTGCGGAGAATTAAGTTTATTTTGTAAAAGTTTATTTTGTTTTGCATTTACGTTCTTAGTTTCACATTTCATTAGATTTTAGTACACACATTCAAGAAGTTTTTGAAAAACCACTTAAGAGATTTTATTCTTATTATTTGTTTTTTTTTTTATTTTTGCATTCTTAATATCATTGTAAAGTTTATGTTTTACGCTGCACTGGATTTTTGTTTACGTTGCTGCCGCTCTTTAATTTTTGTGCAATCATATTTATGTTTTTTTGTGTCAGCCTCCCAGGGTTTTATTTTGATGGGCTACATTATTATTTGCCTTCGCCTCCCTTTTTCACATAGACTATTTCGGCGTATTCCGTTGAACTTTTGGGCCCAGTTCCAGTGCCCTCCGGTATTGTTTTTTCTGCTGTTGTTGGTGCTGATGTTGCTATTGTTGTTGTCTCGTTGGCTGGTTTTAGTACAAGTTCAGCATAGACGAGTTGTTTGTCTTGCTAGTTTTGTTTTGGAAATAAATAGAACATATTTTCATAAGTATATTTAATTAATTTATAAAAACATATTTCATAGAGAAAAATTAAATTCGAGGCTTTTCATAGGGGAAATTTCAATACCTTTTCATTTGCTTTTAGCTTTTCTTTACTTAAATGTCCACACTGGTGAGGTGCTCTGCCAAACTATAGCCTTTTTTTGCGTATATATACAAAAGTTATACAACAACGGATTTTATTTTGCATGCGGTTGGTTTTTTTTGAACGGAAAGAGCAGAAAATGGCAAAGAAAATTATGTAGAAAAATTTGTGATAATAGCAAAAAGGAAATCATAAAAAAGAATTGGTTTTTTTTGCTGAAAGCTTGTGTCTAAGTATAAAGAATTATGCTAAGCTTAAAGGTAAATACAGCTCGCACTCAAACACACACACAAACACATAGGATATTCTCTCAGAAAAAATGAAAAATTTAATTCTATGTAAATCCTACATTATCATCCCGACATTAAATACTTTAAAGTTTAAACATATGATTTGTGACTCAGACTAATAAAGGGGCTAAAAACTATGCTAAAAATTTTTTTAAGAGAGCTAAATAATAAGATTTTCTGAATAATAAAAACAATTGGAAATTAAAAAGATTGCTTCATACTTTAGGTAAATATTTAAAAACAAATGCCTAAAAGTATGCAATGGTAATTTTTATCTGTGTAGAAACCCAGAAATTTATAATGTTAACGTTAACATTTAGTAGTTGAAATTCCATATGTTTTAATATAACTATTTTCTAATCCCTACAAATCAAATTAAAAATTTTGGCCCTAGCAATAAATGGTAATACATATTTTGTAGTGTAATAATGTCGATTGTCTGAAGATTTTTAAAGACATTTTTCCTGTGTGCTCTGGCAAAAACAAAGAAGTTGGAAAGGGGAAAAGGTCGGATTATGGGACATTTTTCAATACCTTTGGTTCATTGTCATTGCCATCGATGGCATTATTGGTAGCTGGACTCTCCTGTTCGCTCGCCTCCACAATATTCAATGACTCCTGGTTATCCTTGTACTTCTTCGAATCCTTTTCGTTGAAACGCTTTAAAATTGCCACGGCAAAAGCCGGCAATCTCTTGGCTTTCTTCTGCTGCTGTTGTTGTTGTAGCTGCTGTGGGTTCTCTTGTTCGTTAACGGTTTCCTCCTCCTCAGACGAAACGCCCACTCCGCCCATCGTCGTGGTGGCCGTTGCCGTTGAAGTGGCTTTTATATCGGCGCTTTCGGTGTCGCTGCTGCTTGTCGGTAGTGAAATTGTTGGGAGGTTTTTGGATGGGTTCATGATTTTGTTTTTTGTATGAAATTTTTTTTGCTGTTTTTTTCTACTTAGTACTGTGTCAAAATAATTGCTGCTGTGCGAATTTTCTTCCCAAAAAAATAAGTTAGCAAAAGATGGCCATAATAGTGTACGGGGTTAGTCGTGTGGTTAAAAGTCTTTTCGTGGCAGCTCTCTGCACTAGTACAGGTATCCTATCTGACGGTTGTTAGTGGGCTTTAAAACTTGTGTTTTGGTAATTGCGTAATTGTTATTGTTGTTCGTGTGTGGCACCATTAAAACCCAAATTGTGTTAGGAAAAGCAAATTTTCGAGGAATAAGCTTGTTATCTCATTTCATTTGGATTTGAATTGGTAAAGATTCTAAGTTAAGCTTTAAGCCTTTCTAGAAGTGTTTTCATGTTTTTTTTCTCTATTACAAAACTATCACAGATCTTTTGTCTTTTGCTGTTTATGTACCTTGTAAGTGAAGGTATTAAATATTTAAGATATAAATCAGAATTTATTCAAAACAAGCATTTTAAAAAGGCTTTTACTAAAATTGTTATGCTTTGAGCTTCACCTAATAATCCTACTTAATGCCTTATGGAATATTTAATTCGCATTTGACCGTTTATGGACCCTTAACCCAATTCAACCCCACATATTAACCCTCGCTTGACGTGGGCTGGCCAAGTAAATTGCTTTCACTTGGCCAAAATGAGTTTCATCTATATTCTATAAATATTTTTGGCTCATTTGAATGTCTGCCTGCTGTCTGGGCTAGCTCAACAAGTATCTGCTGGTTATATTTTCCTAACAGTGTGTGCCGTGTCCATGTGTTCGTGCTTGTATTTGTATTGGTTTCTGGCGTGGCGTGTTTGCCCCTCATATATGAGAAATGTTTATTGCATGAAACGTTGCTTTCGTATTTTAATGATATTGCTTTTGTTATGGAAAATGCGAAATTGTACGGGGAATTTCCTCTTTGATATGTTGCATTGTTAGAATTTTCCTTTCAGGCTTCCAGTGAACTTTACATAATTCCATTCTATTGAAAATCACCTTTGACACACGCATACACATATTCAGACATACGCAAAATTAATAAATCCACATAAGGAAAACTCATCTCAATTTTAACAATATTTATTGTTGTTAATTAAATATTAAACTTACGTTTTGTAAAAAATAATAAAGGAAAACAACATGTATCAAAAGTTCCTAAAACTAAACTTAATCGTTTTCGATTGTAAATATTAATAAGTTTTTTAATGTTAGGCACTCTTTACTCGAACAGAACTTAAACCAAGTCGAACATAATAATCGAAAATAACTCTTAAAGTACAGTGTGCGCGGCTTAAGTTGAACACTTCTTTGATGCGCATATTTCTCACTTGATGACTGTTTGTTCTACAGTGACTACAATAAATATTTGTGTAAAACAATGATTTTTGCTTCATGCTTGCCATGCAAACTCCTTCGATTATGTATGTATTCGATAATAACTTAATTTCATGCCGGCTTCAATCTCTATGAAATGATACAGTTTTTATGTCTCGTTTGTTATTTTCTTGTAGGAGAAGAAACTTTTGTGTGTTAAAGCTTAAAGCCTAATTCGGAGTCAGTTTTGTGACGTGTTTATTTGATTTTAAATCCCTTCAGAATTATATTTGTTAAGGAAGATCTGAATAATTATCTTTAGTGAGGGCGAAGAAAGTGTAAATAAATTAAAATTTTCTTCAACTCTATTTCTCTTTCAATGTACAACATTTCACAGCATATTTTAGGGTGCTCTTAAATTATTTTCAAAATTTGCATTGTTCTTGGAAAATTTCCTTCTTTTTCTTATCGAAATTAATATTTATAAGGCCCTCTTATGTATTTGTTTTTTAAAGTGCAGTTAACTATGACCTTTCAACTTGAATTCTTAAAATGCCGTTGACACTTATGGCTGTGCTCCCTAAAAGCTCTCGATTGCCACAAAACTGCTCCGTCCCTAATCCTGCTGCGCGTTTCCTGTACCCAAAAAGAAGAAATAAATAAATATGAACGCCACACGCGCACACACACACTCGTGCACACGCTCAGATTTCCGTTTCCTGTGGCAACTTTGGCGTCGTTGGTGTCGTTGGCGTCGTCGTCGTCGTTGTAGTATTTGTGGTATTTCCCTCTCCGATTCGGGGTTTCTGGGGCTTAGGTGGTGTTGCCGGGGCCTTGGATTTACCCCTTCCCGAAAGTAACATTGCCTGCTTTTCGATCAGCTCACGTTGATCCTTGGGCAGCCAACGCGAGAAACGCGATTCGGGGATTCCCAGTTGATTTCCCTTTTGCAGCAGATCAGCATTTTCGCTGGCATCTTCCTTGTCGCTAACAGAGTTTCGGGTGTTACGACCTGCCGCCTGACTCATCAGGATACTTTTCAGTGGCCTTGTGGTGGGATTATATACACTGCTTTCCCGATCGGTTCCATATTCAAAGCTATCATCTTCATCGTGATGGCGTCTTTCCACAGACAGGCGGTCATGACCATTTCCATTGGCCTCTCGCAGTTTATTGGCTCCCAACAAGGTAATACCATTGGGGGTCTCCAAGAGTGCTACATTTTGACCATGAGTTTGCTGGGTTCCCAACTCCAGTTGCTTATCATTCTGGCTGCTTATCGTAATATTTTTTAGACGTTTTTTATATATTTTTTATGGGTTTATGATTTAAAGTTTCCCAAGGCAAAGAAGTTGATATTATGTAATTGAATTCGTTATTCAATATTTAAGAGTTTTTGTAAGTTGATGGTACATTTGGCAAGTACATCATACATTTTATTCAGTGGTTTCGTTGGGTTGTTGTCGTTGTTGGTTGTCCATATGAAAGTAGCAGAAGAAGAAGACAAAACATAGCAAGAAGTTTGTTTTCGTTTCTTTTTTATGGTTGATGTTTGTTTTTTTCTATTATTATATTATTTTTGTGATGCATTAGCAAAGTGGCTCTAACACTATAGAGTTTTTTTTTTTTTTGTTTTATGCACTTGTTTGCTTTTAGTTTTTGTTTTTTTTTTGTTTGAATGACTGGGACAGCGACATTTTTGACATTTTTAGTAAATGCGTGAGACAGAGCAAGAGAGCTTTATGAGTTGTTCAGAGGATAAGAGAGAGACAGAGCGAGACAGACACTTCTTCTAGTTTTGTTTTTTGCTGGTGGGCGGGCGAGCGAGCAATGTGGGCGTGGCTGAGCGACTAGCGAGCATTATAATGTGAAAGTTCAGGAGTGTAGGTGTATATGTGTATGTGTGACAGCGTGAGAACTATTTCAAACTGATTTTGCATTTTATGAAATTAAAATTTGGAATTTCAGTTTAAAAAGACTTTTCAAATACAAGACGAAACACGAGACCTTTAGCAATGTGTGTGGTGTGTTTATGTGTATGCGTGTGCTTAAGTTAAAGTTGGACTATGACTATGAACTAACCTAAGATGATAATGAGCTGCTTCTATATCTAGAGATGATTGCTTTTTGGCATACGGTTAATGTAAGTACGAAAATGAAAGCCACTCAAGAGACGCATGCAAGTAGACAAACAAACACACAACCGAACTACGCAATATTACATAAATGGATAACAGATAAATGGCTTTGAAAATTAAACAAGTTTAAGCAAACCAGATACCGTCGACGGGTTAGTTGTGGATCCGTGGAAATAATTTATGTATGGCCCCTTATTTTTCTTTTGCACTTTTCTGAACTTATTTTGACATTTGTTAGGCTGATGGAAGAGTTCACTGTACTTACGTTTCGTTTGTGGGCGTCTTGATTGATTTGCCTGTGTGGAAAAAAAGGTAAAAAACATGTTTAAAATATGAACAATAATAGGAGAATCATTTGCATACATATGGTTTTAAATGATTAATGATATAAGAATAGGTTCCCCAACTAACAACAGCACCATCATCAGCTCACTTTCTGACGCATCAAATAAAACCTCCTCGTAAGTTTACAATATTTATGTTTTTCATGTTTTTGTTTATTTTTTGATTCGTTTTACTAAAATTACAAAAGAACAGAAAAAAACATAGGTGTGAAGCGGATATCTAATTAAAATAAATCATAGGCATGTTTAATTTTCTAATTTGTTATGCTTGCCAAGTTTGAATTCATTGATTTGCCAATCGACATAAAATAATAATTAGAAAATGCAAAATGCTGGCAGCTCTTATAGCTTAAATAAATACATGGATGAACTCAATATTGCTGGACAAAATATAATACAATAAATTGGACATTGTTGATATATTATTTGTTATTTTTTTTTTATATTTATATAGGTTTTAATTGGACAAAAGGGAAATTTGAGGGCTTTTTAGATTCGCGAATTACGAAAAATTGGTCACTTAAAATTACTTGGCCTAAGGTAGGGTGTTGCTTTCGTTTTGTTTTTATAGTAATATTATATATCATTTTTTTTTTGTTGTGCGCTTTTTGAGATTGGTTTTTTCTTCTTTCAATTACATTAATGAGAGAGCAAAAATATTTGAGAGCAAAAATATGGTAAGGAGATATATAGTATTCGTTATTTTTGTTTCTTATCCCTTTTGCTTTTAGCAAATGGGGCACACAGCTAACTGGCCAAGAGCCACGCCCATTTGTTGGGAAAGGTGGCGGCTTAAACGGAAGTATTTGGCGGCTTGGGAGCCTCGATGCCATTCAAATTGTGCTGGCTGCCATTGCCGGCGGCTATAACTGCTGCCGCTGTGGCTGCCGCACTTTTCTTCAGATCCGCCTTCTTTTGCGCCTCCAACTTATCGGTTACGGGGGCGTGGCCTCCCTCCGATTGCTGGGTGGTATCGATATGCTCATCGCCATTATCGCGACCATCCAGCTCCTCGTCATCATTGAATTCAGGATGTATTTGTGCCTCGGAATCGGGACCGATGTCCGTGTTTAGAGTGGCGCCTGTAAAAACGACAACAACAAGAACTAACATTTAGCTTTGTGTGCAGAGAGAGAGAGAGAGAGGGATAGAGAGAAGAGTAGAGAGAAAAGATTTCGATCTCAAAGGTACCAAAATTCCATATTAAAGTTGAGGTTAGTCCTTTTACCAAAAAAGCTTATCAGGCAGAAAGTACAGAAAGCATAGAAAAACAGAGAAATACAATTTTCCTTTTGTTTTGGTTTACAAAGTTTTTAACAATAAAAGCAAGTAACACATTTTTTTAAAGTTTTTTTTGGAATTTTTCTTGGCAATTTTTTAGTGACCAATTTTTGTTTTCAATGTTAGCTCTTCTTGTTGTTGTCATTTGTAGACACTTTTTCTCAGAGAGTTTTACAGTTTTTTTGTTAGTCTTAGATAACTAATTACATTATGTTATATATTTAAGTTTGGGTTTGGTAATATAATATCTTGTGTATAATAATATTTTTTTAGACTTTTTATGCGTAGATTTCTTCAGGAAACATAAGAGCTTGAAATAATAATAAAAATTTAAAAACATGAATTCATTTAATTTAAGTTATTATTTAAATTATAATGTTCCAGAAATAGAAACTATCTACTTTTGGCTTTTATAATAAGAATCGTTTAAATAAGTTTTTTCCTTTATTTTACCTCAGCTTTTTTATAACTTGTATAATTTTTATAGCAATTTTAAAAGTCAACACACTTATATTTGTATCTTTTTAAAAACCCTAGTTATTCTTTCATTTTCTTTTTCATATGTTTCATTTTAAAATTTTGTTTGCCCTGCCACATACTTTCGCAAGAATATTTTTCCACAGAAACTCCGCCGGCAAAGTCAAGTGATTTTTTTTTTAATTAGATGAGTTTTCTAGGGCTGCTGCGTTCATCAGCCCAGTTGCTCCTTCTGCTAGGTTAACGCTAATTAAAATTTAAAAGCCGCACAATGTGTCGAAAGTTAACAACGGCTTGTGGCAAAAGAGCCTAGCCCACAGCCCACCCAAAAAACCCAAGTACATATATGAATTGCATGAGATGAGTTGTGGAGGAGCTTTGGGGGGTAAAATGGGTGCTGAAGTTGAGGGGTTTGAGTGGAGAACCTAAAGCCAGAATTTATTGTTAGCATAGCTGATGATGAGACAATAGTGGCGGTGGATGGTCATAATGATGATGATAATGCTGTTGTTGTTGTTGTTGATGTGGCTGAGAGGCTAATGACGATGTTTCACCCGCGAATAAGCAAAAATGTGTATGCACGAGTATGTGGTGTGTGTATGGAAAACTCAAAATAAAAAAAATTTTCAAACTTACCGCCAAAACACCATCGGCCAGTGGCCCGTGCAAACACAATCAGTAGAACGACCAGGACCAAAACGGCAACGGCCACTACAATGCCAACAATTGCGGCCACATCGAGGCTGCTACTGGGCGGTTTGCTTGACGAACTGATTCGGACCTGGTACTCCGTCGGTCCCAGTTCATTGCTGGCCCTCAAATAGTAGATTTTCGTGGTATCTTCCAGAGTCAGCCCTGCAATGGCTAAAGTCACATTGTACTCATCGTTGCCCAGGTACTGGGGCTCATATGCCGAGTAACGACCGTCGGTGCGTCCCTGTCCCACAACAGTTCCGTCGATGGTCCATTCGATCTTTGGCTGCGGGCTGGCCCGGATGGTGATGTTCACAATGGCAGTGTGTTCCAGGTAAAGTCCGTAGACAGCGGCATCGGGCTGATAAACGGGAGCATCTGAAGGAAGCAAATATTTATTAGAATATAAATTATTGAACTCCAATTTAATGATGAACTCTTACTTATATGATTTAATTGTGATTAAAATAAAGCAAAATATATTAATTTAAGAACCAATTGACTCTGCTGTATATTTGCTTTAAATCTGTTATGATCTACTTTGACTTCTCTAAAAGACTTACATCGCACGTGGATAATGTAGGCAGCATCCTGTGGCGGTACACTTTCGCGATCGGTTTGATGGTGTGAGCGGCAGACCAATTTCCGGTTGCTATCCTCGGGCGACAGGTGCCATTGGATTTCCTGCACGGAGGTCGACAGTTCGACATTGTCGTTGGTGGAGGACAGGATCTCTAGGGGAGTGGTTTGCTTGTTGGCCGGCATGTTGTCAATGTACCATGAGATATTCGCCGGTGGACGACCATCACGAACGCTGCAGCGAGCCTTGAACTCAGTTCCCTGGTTGAAGTAGCCCTCCCGATTGGGTTGTGACAGTAGCTCGATGATGGGCTGCTGGGGACGCACTGAAATATTCAGAATAGACACATAATTTATTTAGAAATAAATACAAAAATTTTATGCTTACGAAAAATGTGAACAACTTCAGTAAACAAACAATACGTTAATTTTATAAGAACTTTTTTTTATACTTACATGCTACTACGAGGTCGATAGTGCCTGACAGCTCCTCTCCTTCGACACCCAAACTGCACTTGACCTGGCCATTGTTGGCAGCCTTCACACGTTCGATGCTGACACCGCACTGTCCGGCCGTAAGACCCGCTCCGAAGTACGTGAATCCGGGGGTCTTGCTCCATTCCGGCGACAAGTTGAGTACCTTCTGTTCACCAGGGATCTCGATGCGGCAATAGTTAATGGACCTGCCATAGCGACAGAGCAGCTCGGTGCGATCACCTTCATTGAGGAGCGCTGTGTTGGGTTCCACATTCACTTGGGCCCAGGTGAGTGCATCTGTAAGATAAATGCAAACAAAAGAGACGATTATGTTGGGACTATTGTGTAATTCACTTAAGTATCTAGTATCTAGTAACTGGTATCGCATAACCCGAGTCTTTGTCTTTCGCCAGATTGAAAAAAAGAAGCAATAAAAAACGGCACGTTCCATGCAACACTCGACACTCTGTCCTAATGTCTTGGCAATCAGGCAAATGACTGTCGCATTTAGCGAGAGACACCTGCACGTTTGCATCTTTAAGATACGCATCGCATAACCAGAGATCTCAGTCAGTTTTTTTTTAGCATTGCAAACAATGCGGTTGCATTTTCTCATTAAGTTTCAATTAAGTTATTCGTTCGTTTTTTTCTCAGTCTTGTGTGGAAATGTTTTCCCACTCCCATTCGCCGCAGTTAAAAAAGTTTTGCGAAAAGTTCTTCCAACTGCAGTTGCTTGCCATTCTTTTTTAGCATTTTCTATTTGCCAATTAAGACATTTGAGTAATTTTCTAAGTTGGGAATTAAACGTTTGAACAGAAGTGGGGCTTTCGGCTTGCTTGTTTGTTTGCCTGACTTTGGCTTTGTCGGTTAGGCGGAGCAAATATGTCGGAGAAGGTTTTGACTCTAGATTATTTAAATTCTGGTAAATGATTTCAATTTAATTTTAGTTAAATTGTCTGCTTGTGTTTTGTATTTCAGGGGGCATTAAGCTTAGAAGGAAACTGATTCTCTTGCGGGCATTTATAAGCTTGAACATCTGTTAATTGGATTATTGAAATGTGAAATTAAAACTTAAAAGCATGTTATTCACTCTTTAAAAGATTTTATTGATTTGATGATAGCTAATTCTTTTTTTCCTCGTCTATGGTAGGTAAACAACTTCTAAAATTGCCGACTAATTTCTGTAAATGAAAACCGCGAAATTGCAAATTTTGGCATAAATATGAGATGCGCGGCATCAAAAACAGCTGCAATCTTAAAACTGATGGATACAAGGAATACGAGGTGAAAAAAGAGAGGAAAAGCTGTAAGGAAACGTCGAAATGCAGCTGGCCAAAAGTGAATTGATTTCTCCGCTCGATGCCGTTGCGCATTTTGGCTTTTGGATGACTGACTGGCCGGCTGAGTGAAGTTTTGTTTGGTCAGCCGGAAACGTGCGGGAAATCAACAGCATTTGCATTTGCATTCGACTTTAAAAATCGGGTCAGCCAGCTGGCCATGTAATGCGAAACTTTTCGACCGCCCCATGAGATGTCGTTTAACTTTGGACAATTGACTTGTGAGTGTTTTTTTTTCTGCTTTGTGTGCAGACTCCTTCTTTTTTAGCTGCTTGTGATATTTTTCAATGACTCCCACACTTTTTGTTTCATTTTTTTTTTATTCACACTGGAATTTGTAGACCCTATAAAACCACTTAGGGATCTGAAAAGGGCCGCATGAAATCCCGCCGAGAAGTTTTGCTGCAGCTTGGATTTCCAGAGTCCAGAGTCCAGAGTCCGGAGTCCAGCGTCAGCAAAAATCGTTTCACACTTTCCCCCACAAATAAAAACGGGGATTGCAACAAACTGTGGCTCGAGTTCCGAAAAAGAGGAATAAAAAAAAAACAGAGGGAAACGTGGAAGTTGAAGTTGGACAATGTCACATTCACAGCTATGAAAACAAACGCTCGAATTCGAGACGTTGCATCGGATGGAGATGAGCACGTGATTAAGCACGGATAACTAAATATATGGGGGATTTAAACTATTCTTAAAAACAAGTCTCTTTCCTTAATTAATACACTTTATGTTAATAATTTATATTAAAAATCTGAATAATCAGTGCTTAGGCTATTTGTTTTCATGAACTTAATTTGGATTGGGTCTGGTGATTGACTTTCTCACGCGTTCATATCTATCCGTCGACATACGCTCCATATCCATGTGTTTATTCACAGCACAAATCTATTTTTTATCCATTTCCCCCTGCTGGTGATATTTATTTATTTAGCTTTTTTTCGCTGGAGAAATTTTCGGTGGACTTGGTCGTCCTCTGGGTTGGATTTACAGATCCCGACTGGATTCTCCTTCTCTGTTGTTCCCCATGTTTTATTTGATGCCATGTCTGCAGTTTTCAGAGGAACGTTTGTCCAGTTCAGTGGTCTTGGCTCGGCGGAAACGTTGCCCCAACTTTAAGTGATTTTCCTTTTTTCGTTGACCATGTGTGTGGCCATAGAAATCATTTCGCTTCACTTTTCTCCTCTATAAATTGTGCAAATAGATTTAATTTAATGCCCTCACTCTTCCCAATAAAAATCAACTTTGGTCTGGGAGTCTATATCGATGCATTGCCTCAGCTTCCCTGTTGTGGCTATTGTTTCCCATTTTTTGGCCACGTTAGCGTCTTTGGGTTGGAACGTGATTTTTACTTGAATTTTGTGTTCGGGTACTTTGATTTTTCGACTACAGTGTTGGCTCGGGTCTTGTGTAAAGTTTTGGGAACTGTGGGATAAGTTAACTAATTTGTGGTAACATTTTTTTTAACATCTTTTTAATACTGCTATGAGTAAACATAAACAAATTGTAACAATATTAAAAAAAGTATTTTTTGTTTAAATGTTTTTTTTTTAAATTTATTTATTTTTCTCAAGGACTTTTCCTATTTATCCCATTGTCCCAATCAACATCTAGTTGATTTTAAAAGAGAAAGAAAATATATAAATCCAACATGTATGTCTGGGCTGCTGTCTACCACAAATTGATATGCAATTTCAGCACTATAAAAGAAAAATCAAATGCTGTATGCACGAGTACATGTACGTTTGTGTATGCAATCTGTGAGCTTATCATCCCGACCATTATATATCGCTTGACTGGTAATTTTCAATTTATCAGCATCGATTTATCAGCTTTTGTGATACCAGCTACCTGCATTCGGGCAATTGTAGAGCAACAAAAAAGATAATTATTACTGATTTATGGCTGGCTTTCCATCCATCGACTGACAGCGACCGACTTGAACTCAAAGTCAATGGGGAGGAAGTTAAACAACAAGAGTTGAGCACAACACTTGAAATCGTTAACTCCTGGCTTTTCTTTTCGGCCAACATTATCGCGTGTGTGTGCAATTTCTTTTTACCTTTATGGTTTGGGTTTTTATCCAGCGTTTCGTGGCTATTAATAATGATTGGTTGTTACATCAAATTGCCGTGTCGCGGCCTTTTACTTTTTTCTTGACCAATTTTCTATTTATTATTGGGATTATTTATGGCCTTTATCAATCATGTTTTATGTACAAATTTATTAACTTTTTTTCGGCAGTTTCTTTTTTGCCTTGATTAATGCAGAAGTGCAAAAGTGTTAGGCAACAACCGAAAATATTGTTGTTAAAGTTGAAAGGAAAGTCAATGCGGTTTTTCTGGGGAGGGGAAAGTGAACGTGACATTTGCCACACGTGGCATACAGGTGCATTACGAGCGAAAGTTTCCTAGGGCTTTCCTCAATTTTCCATTAATCGCAGGGGAAGCTCTAAGGCCAGCAATTTTTCCTTTTTCGGGAGATTTAGATATCCACTGACTGGTGCAGGTGAAAGTTGCCCAAAATACAGTTGAGAAAAGTAAAGAAAAATATCCATTTATGATGCGGTTGCAGCTCCAATCCCTGAGACATCATTTTGTTCATCCAGCTGGAGTAGAAAGGCACGTGACTGAAGAAAACCGGATCTGTACTGGAACAATTAACGGCTCCCAAAGCAATACCATAGAGCTGTCCATCGCAGAATAGCGGCCCACCGAAATCGGTGATACAAATACGTGGTTCCAATGACTTTGCACAAATAAGATCTTCGCTTTCCGCGTAACCCTCTTTTAGATCCTTCTTGGCATCTAAACACTCCTCAAATGGACGCAGTGTGACATCCAGAAATAACTTGTTTGGAAATGATTCAAGTTTTTGCATCTAAGGGGCATATTTTATCAGAGTTTTAATTCCTTGATTACTTAGGAACTACCCACTCGTATGCCAAAGTTTCCACCAATAGTTTTGCAGTCTTTTCCCACTTCCAGTGAATAGTTTCCTATAGCAGCTTTGGCCAAATGATGGACATCAAATTTGATAGTCCTCTTTAGTTTAATTACAGCTAAGTCATCGCGTTGGTTTCTTCTATAATACGGATGGATAACCATATTCTCAATTTCCATAAGAAATTCCTCTGACTCAGGAATCTTAAAGATGGCAGCGCAAAGGGCCACCACAATTCGTTTTTTTTTCGTCATCAAACCTCTTTTACTAGTTTACAAATTGTAAATTAGAAAATTAATTCGTTACCAGGAGATTTACCCACTCTGTAAGGCAATGTGCTGATGTAAGTATGTGATGATTAGTAAGGATGACGCCAGTACAGAAGTGATTATCTCCGGGAGAGTGTATAAACTTGCGAGTCCGCAGAGATACCAAATGAGAACTGAGATGACTATAGCCTGTGTCCATATAATGATCAACTGAAGTGATGTTTTCAAGGAAAATCATTGGAACTTGCAGAAGCAAAAGGAAACTAAGCCACATAATATTTTTGAAGTTTAAACGAAATTGATAAGCAATTCAGGGATTCCTACTTATTAATACAAACATAGACTGTGGAAAATAATTTAAATTATTTAGTAGATAGCTGAGCAGCCTGCTAAAAGCACGGTAATAAGTTATTACTATGCATTATAAATCCATTGATATTGCTTAGAATATTATATAACATCAATCATATCAAAAAGGTATTCGGAGTTCTTGCCACTTTGCGATTCAATCAATGAACTAGTTGCATAAATTTCGAATTTAATTATTTGCATAAGAACTGCTAAATTTTCACTTTCAAGCCCAAACATTTACATTATTTATGCCCCAATTTAAGTTTCCCTTTACAATGCCAACATTCCATATTTGTTTTCACAATTATAGACATTCAGGGTATTTAAACGGCAGAGATTTATTTGAGCCCAGCCACAGAGGTTTAAACACAGAAGACAGAAGACAACGAAGTAAGACAACTTCCCTAGCAGACATTCCCATCTGTCAGTTAATTAATGCGAAGGAGACAATGAGGTTCCCTGGTCCTCTGCCATTTGCATCTTGCATTTGGCACTCTCTACTTTTCGATGAGCTTATGACCGTCTTATTGTAATTACCCGACAATGAAGTCAAGTGGCAGTGGCAAGACAGGGCAAACTGTTTGCATATTTGAGGGGCACCCTGAATGCCAAATGCTTATTAAAGTCCGAAGAAAATATTATCATAATTAATGCCCCAACCAGAAGTGCAAATCGTACCGCAAAACTTTCTACAGTTCTCTCCCTCTCTACATCTGGAAATGAATGCTTAGTTCTGGATTATTATACAATGGAATACAATATATATTCTCTATATAAATGCGAGAAAGAGAGCGTTAAATGTTGGCACTGGACATGTGATAAATATTGCGGTCCATACTTCTCATAAATTCAACAATACCAGTACAAAATTGCAGCAAGCAATTTATATAATGCCCCATCGTTGTGCAACATGTTACTGTAAAATTAATATGCGGCCGTCTGCTTGTGCAACTCGCTTTCTGGCCTTAACCCTTTAAGGAGCTTATACAAATTGTGACGATGACAGCGTCTGCCAAACTGGAGAAGACTGATATAACATATTCCAGACCAGACTAAGGTTGCCTAATTTAATGCATAAAAACGCACACGCAAGCAACAGACGTGGCTGGAAAAGATTGTCAAGGAGTTGAATATGGTATAATACCCTTTACTTTGTTTTAAAATAGTTCCTCTACATGTATTATTATAATAGGTTGCTAAATTTCTAAAATTCAACTATTATGCTAAAGAACATCAATGAAAGAAACTATATGAATAGGACTTGCAACTTGCAACGTAGAATAGAAATATTTTAAAAACCTTAAAGTCAATCCAAAGTCGAGCACTCCCTACAAACACCCCCTAGAACATTATGTTAACCCAAACAGACGCCCCATGGGGAAGCCGCCTTCAATCCAGCTAGAGAACGAGGGAAACAGCAGGATCCGCAGCCAAGCGGGGTATAAATTAACATAATTTTCATATACACGCGCCAAAAGTTGCAACCACACCTAAACCTAGGCAAAGGATCCAGGATCCACGCCCCGTTGAATTATGGAAAAAAGTGCTGGGCAAAAAAATACAAAAAAAAAAGAGGAAGGGAAACCCTAAGAGACATATGAATTTCTTAAGTAAAGTGAAAAAATATCAAAGAAATGGTGTGCGTGTGTGGGTTAGTGTTTTTGGGAGGATGAGACAATGACTGCGTCCCACCGAAATGACAGTTATTAATATATACGCAAAGAAAAAACTGTTTCGAAATTGTTGCTGCCTACTTTTTTAGGCATGACCGCTGGAAGGATGCCAAGTGTCGCCAGCGATTTGCGGGACATTTATCAAACCGCCAAGAAATTATGCAGACAGACTGAAATTTCGCTAAGCCAAATCAAAAGCAGCACCAAAATCAGCACCCAGTCGAAAGGTAGATAAAGTCATGATATGATATATATACAGACATAAATATATATACGAGTATATAGGCTAGACGTCGCCGGTGCTCATAAAAAGTGTCTGCGAGTGGGTTTTAATTGTTTTTCCTTTTTCGCTGACATTTTCACAGGATGTTAAGGCTAGGCGAACCTGTCTCGAGCCACAAAATAAATTGATCTGTGGTTTTGGCCTCATAATTTATGGGTCTTTTCTTGTGCCCTGAGAGGGGAAACAAGAAGAAATGGGTGAATGCGAAATTTGACAAATGGCTGGAAATCAGAGAATGGCAGCCCTCGCCTTCCAAAATATAGAAAAGCTCTTCTTGTAAATGTTAACGAAACTGACATTAATTTTATGTTACTGGCAAGCGAAATCAATTAATTATTGTTGTTGTCAATTGTGTTCTGCAGGAATACGTGTATATATATATATATAGAATATTGATTCCTATTGGTGTTGACATGTCCTTAGGGGAACTTCTGACTGTCTTGCTTTTTAATGGTCGGCTTTAACTTTTGGGGTATTTAAAGGTGTTTGTTGGGGAAGTGCTATTTATTGGTAAATTAAATATAAATAACTAAATTCAGATAATTTATTTTTTAATTATTCACTTTGGAACAGAAAGAATTGACTCAAAATGACTATTGATTGGTTTTCAATCAGCTACAATAAATAATAGATTGTTTTTTTCTGAAATGTAAGCCCTGACTCTTTAAAAAAAGATTAAATTATTAACGAACTATTTAACAATTTTTATTTTTATTGTTACAAAATACGACTATAAATCCATCAATCTGTGCAGTAATATTTCTCCGCCTCACGCTTCATTGCTCACACAATTAACGCGTTGAAACTTTATGTGACATTTTTTCTGTTTTATGTTCGAGTTTTTGTTCTTGCCGTTAAGTTCCATATGCACGTCACAGTTTAATTGCATAATTAATATGCAAAACTAATTTGTATGCTAAATATGTTATTATTTATATTCGCAATTTCTTTTTTTTATTTATTTGCGCAGAGGCACATAAAAGAAATTGCTTGGCCATGAGTAAGAGCTTAACAGTTATGTTTTAACGGTTGGCTGGCCCATAAGTGTCTTTGAACTCGCTACGAGCTTAAAGTTTTCAAAGTTGTTGTGCAACAAGCAAAAAAAGAGTGTTACTGCTTTCAGTTTACTTTTCGCACTGATCTGCTGAACGGATGTGGCGATAAAGTATGAGTCAGTCTGTTTTGACTGACCCAAAATTCTGGAAGCATAAACGCTTTTTGTTTTGTTTTTGCTAATTGTTTGTCAACGTTTTTGGCACGTTTGAAATGCTTTGCTAATTAAAGCATAAAATATTATGCTGACAATGGCAGAGTGCTGAACTTTCCAGCTAAAATATAACTTTGTCTAAACTTTGACAAGATCAACTTTTTGCCTTGCCTTCTGTTTGCCTTTCGTCTTTAATTTAATTGCCCTGTGTGCATTTGTTGGCCAGTTGAAGAGACTTTGAAAACAGTTTGGCAACTAAGCGCTTTCACAAAAATACAAAATCAACAAACACCAGATGAATGCAACATTTGTCGGCGGCCATGACTCGGTTTTCGTTTTTCAGTTTTCAGTTTTCATTCACATGCAAATGTGCGAGAGATAAGTGGGAAACATGTTTTCCCAGACTAACAAAACTCAAGCCCCAAGGCTGAGAGTTGTCCAAGCTGCATCGGCATTGCAGTATTAGAAGACGTGGCCTGTCTTCATCCAAGGCTAGCCACTTTATACATTGACTTGCCGCTTTAACCGTCGATTAACTCACCTATAATTTTTCACATTTATTTTTTGTTTCCAGCCCCGGGGAAAATCATTTATTAAATATTTTTTATCTGTCGCTCACCATACACATTTAAATGACAGACGAACGGGAAAAAGTGCACCTTCTGGTAATTAAAGTTTATTACAAATATTTTCCTTTTAACTGAGTAAATATTGCTATAAAAAGTAATATATATTTAATGCTGGCCTACTTTGTTATTAATACGCAATGACAGACTGGCCGGACCTGCGGTATGAATTATGTGGTACCTGCATTTATAATTCATAAGATGTGATGACATTATCTAACCAAACAAAAAATTATCACAGATATTCTACAGGGCACGATAAATGTTCTGGGAAAAGAAATGGAAAATTAAAAAATAAATCTATTTTTTTAGCTTAAAACTGGGTTTTCACATCTCTAAAATAAATATTAAAGTTTTCATAGTAATTTTGTGGAAAATCAAATTTTGAAGCTTTGTCCAAAAACTCGAAAGTCTCTTTTGGGAAAACTTCAAGTAATTTCACTTGGATAATTTATCACAGAAATATTCAAGGAAGCGACACCATTCACTAGAGAGGTAATTAAAATGTTATCTCTCTGCCGTTTATATTTTCTCCAGAGGGGGTCACTCATTCGCCAGAAAACTGAGGTGACGACAAGTGTGTGGGATGCCCTGGGGCCAACTGGGGGTTAAAGTGTGATACCTTGAGCCGGGGTTAAGTTCTGCCTCGCTGCGCCCATTTAACCTTTGGGTTTGTGTGTGTGGCCACGGGCAAACATAATTGAAGTCATAAATAACGAATTATGTTGTGAAAGTTGAGCCGGGATATCAGCAGCAACAACAGCAACGACAACAACAACAGGACCGTCAGAATGAGGCAAGGTTTGTTTAGTTAACTTTTTCTCCTACAGCTTCAGTTTCACACTTTTTGCATAATTATGACATGTCCGGGAAACGTCTACAGAGGTGGGAGTTTAAGTTGTCCGAGTTGCTGGCTAATTATGCAAGGCCCAGCGCAAGCCAAAAGATTTATTATGATGGAATAACTTTTTAATGCAACAGGGAAGGGTGAGGAGGGGGCGAGATAGGCACACAGAGTTTTCCCAGGTAGCTCTCTAATTAAAAGCTTCATCGTTTTAATACATTTTATGATTTTGTTTGACATGCCTCAAGGCCATTTTCCAACTATACATAAACTATACGCTTTTCCTGTTTTAGTTGAGGGAATGGTTGATAAATACCCGGGAAATAAAGTTTATTTTTAACACCGCCTGGGAGGCAAAGTGTTTTTAATTAATGGCGTTGATGCCTCGTCCGTTTGCAGCCCATTGAATGCCAATAAAAGTGCATTAAATTGCAATTATGCTGCTGCTTTTGCTGACAACACAGCCAAGTATTGAGCGTTGAGCATTCAACAGCCTGATAAATGGTTCTGAATATTTCGTCAGCCGGAATACAGGGCGTATGCTTGTTGTTTGCTCTTACAAAACCTTTTTGCTCGCTTCCTTTTCTGTTTACCATTTTTTTTTTAATTAAAGCAAAGTCAACTTGCAGTTGTCTGAGGGAGAGGCAAACCACAAAGTGCAAAAGTGCATTAAAAATGCATTTTAATATTGGCTGCATGTGTTGTCCATGTGGTTATTATGCCAGCTTGGATTCTGCAGTTTTTTCTGCATGTTTGACTTCAAGTTAAAGCTGATTTTTAAAATTTATTAAGAAAATAGAGGGCAGAAAAGGCATATCAATATTGAATGTTTTCCTTCTTCAATTGCTTGAAATATTATAATATCAAGACAAATGCCAATTGAGCTATGTTTTAATGCTTAATACATACATTTTTAAGTCACATTAAATCCCTCTATAAAATGAAAAAATCAATTTTCCGCATTTTTACCATGTTCCTTTTACCTACTTTTAATCTTGAGTTTCTCCCATTTAATATTCATCTCGTCTCTGCAAACATTTAGAAGATAATTAATTGCAGGACATTTGTTGATGTTCGCTCTGTCAAAAACTTGTTGTCATGTCTTCCAGCTCGTTTCCGTTTCCGATTCCCAGAACTTACTGGAGATTTCCTTTGCCAACACGCTGAACACGTTTGCAATGGATAAAATGAAAAGTAGCTGGCAGTTGTGAAGTAAACCGAATTACATATTTCAGCTGAAGACAAGGGAATGGCCGGGTTTGTATACCTGAGAGAACCCGCAGATTCCCGAGCCCGAAATCGCTGCACAGTCCTGCTCATTTACGTTGATTTCGAGCGGAAAACGTTTGTCGCCAAATTTCATTTCAGTTTGCTTCGATTCAATTCGATTGACATTAATTAATGATTGTTTCGAGTCGCCTTCGCTTACAGCTAGAGCATTGATTTACGTTGTCATCGATTCCCCTGGTCGCCTTATTATTATGCTGGCACAGCGACAATTCTCCAACCGCCGACCAGCAGAATGGCTCGAAATATCCAACCCATTTCCATTGACAACGAGAATTGCTAGGACGGGTGTTAATGATGATGAGCTATCCCTGTCCCTGTCGATAGAGGCACTTGGAAAAATTACCCATCTAGTTTCGGGAACAAAATGAAGAAGAAAATCTATAGATCTTACGTAGTACCTTACAGATACCTTTGGGAAAGTTTCGTTTGAAAACTTATTACACATTGATATCTCTTTTTGATTTATTATATATTAAGTTTAAGATTGACTTTTTTAAGTGCATATCCCTACTCTTGTTGCTTTTATTCCCCATCCTTTCAAATCTCAATTGTGGTGCGGCTTCGTGCCAAGTTTCGGTAATTATTGCCCAAACCAGTTTGGACTTTCCATCCACAGGCTGGGGAGCAATATATAATTATGGTTTCGGTCCGGATCGGACCGGACTTGAGGTCGAGGCTATGGAAACGCTTCCGATTCGGGCTTTTGTGGTTTTTCCTTTCGGCTGTGTGTGGGTGTCTGCCAGTTTATCAATCAAATGGCAATTTGGTGATTAGCATTTAACTGTAGCTACCTACTTTCATTAGCCAAAACACCAGACAATTGAAAAGTCAGCACTAACAATTTGGCTAAAAGCCTGCGAACTATTAATCTACTAATAGCCAGGTACCTTCGAAGGCATTAAAAATGGAAAGCAGGTCAGCTGAGATTTTTATATAGAGTTTATCGCTTCGATTAGCTAATCGGATTGGATGGCATCGGAATCAAACAATGTGCT